GTGAGGATGTAGGGGTTGTTGAGGGATTGTTTGATTTTGAGGAGGACTTTTTTGTCATTTGGGTTGCAGAGTTCTGAGAGAATAAAGGTGGGAAAAAGGAAGAAGAAGAAGAAGAAGAGGGGGAGCCATGGAAGCTTGAGGTTTGGAGTAGCCATGGTTGAAAATGAGGAATCTTGGAGAGATTTGGATTTAAAAAGGTGTTACGTGGCGCAGTGTTTTCTGGTGTAGAAGCAAGAAGACAGCTAAGGCCGCATTTGATGATAGTAAAAGGATTTCAAAGTCAAAAGAAAAGAGAGATTATTGGATTTGGATTTCTTCCTTTCTTTGTGTTTGATCTCCTCATTTTATAAAGCAAATTTTAAAAAATATATATATATAATAATGAGGCGGGCATGAGGGCCCTACAAAGGTAAGCAATCAACAGCGATAGAGACCGTTGGGAGTTCCAAGCCAATCTAGACTAAGGTTGAGTTATCAATTTTATAGAAATATCGATGGTAATATCGACAAAATGTCGATGCAGATGGATATTTCTGTAAAAGTTAGAAAAATTAAAAAAATCGTAAAAAATATTTAAGTTAACAAATAAACATTTTCCTATTTCTAAATTAGTTAAAAATAATTAATATTAATATTATGTATATATTAGTGACATTTTATTGATATTTTTTATATTTTGTCGATTTTCTTATAGTATGATGAAAATATCGATTTACTCTTCATGTCGTCGATGTCAAACTCATAAAAGTATGGATATGTTGATGGAAATGTTGATGGATATTTAAAACCATGATTTGCACAAGACTCCCCAATCTCCTTTAAATTCATTGTCAATGTGAGTATATATAGCTCTCCGAGTAAGATATTTAATTATTTCCTTAGGTYAGAGRTTCAAGTCAATCAATTAAAATCACAGAGACACAAATGTATGCACGGGTGTCATGTTTCATTTTGGATATGGAATACAATGTAGTTAAACATTTACTAATTSTTTGCTGTACTAAAATAAAAGTTTGAAATCACTTAAAAAAATCACATAGAAATAAATGTATTTAATGGCTATTGGAAACGAATTATTGTGTGGTTGTGAAATCTTATAAGAGTTAACAATTGAAGAAAGGAACTTTAAGGTAACTTGAATTTATGTGTCATAAATCACAAGGTACTTGATTTCACGCTCATAAATCAGTCCAAGTACGTATCCTCTAAGATAAGCTTGGTGTGATTTGATATGTGAGTGATGAGTGCTATGAACTTTGGATTAGAAAGATGACTCAATATGCTTCTAGTTCTATCTTTTTCAATCATTGCCACTTCATAGAAACGTTATTCTTCATAAATGTTGTGTTGTGACACTACATAAATAGGTAGGTAAGAGTTTTTATGCTCTCTTTACTTTCTTGTTTCTCATTTGCCCAAATAGAGTCTCGCTTCTCTTAGGTGTCTTATTTTTTGTTGTTTTATTAGTGGGAGTAGCTGGATATCGAAATGGAAATTAAGAAAAACATCAATATACATTATATATATTCCCTTACATAATTCGAACATTTCAAATTATTTCATAATTTTTGATCCTCGTTTTACCCATTATGAGCTAGCAAGGGGACCTAATGGACCTACAGATCAGAAGCTCCAACGATACGAGATTAATCGGTCAAACTCATTGACTGAGTTAATCAACATTCGTTAACTACTGATAAGTCTTGAATTTTAGGAAAAAATGTTTACAAATTGTGCATGTTTAGTGTCTTCTGAAATTAAATACGTATGTTTCATGCATTGAATCCGG